CATATACATATACACATACCTTGATATATCTTGGAGATATCTTGGAGGAAAACAACGTTGGAAAAAAATTGGAGAAGATTAAAATTTTTTTTTTGGAAACTTCAAAGTCTGAAGAAAGAAGATGAAGTCGAAGTCGGTGCTTTTATTTCGTGTTGCGACGGAAATTACCGTCGCCATCCGTCGCAAAAACGAAATAAAAACCGCGAAAATTTGAAAATTTTCATCGAAAATAACGAAATAAATGAAATTAGTATTTGCGACGGAAATTTCCGTCGCAAATCCGTCGCAAAACGAAATAAAAACCGCGAAAATTTAAAAATTTTCATAAAAAATAACGAAATAAATGAAATTAGTATTTGCGACGGAAATTTTCGTCGCAAATCCGTAGCTAATTCTGAAAAATAAATTAATTAAATTAAAAATAATTAAAATTAGCATTTGCTACGGAAATTTCCGTCGCAAATAATGTTTGTTATTGCGATAACGTCTCCGTTGCATTCCGTCGCAAATTTTCGACGGATTTTACGACTCTTTGAGACGTAAAATTTTTTCCCGCATTCCGTCGCTAAACCGTCGTATTCCGTCGTAATTTTGTATGCGACGGAATTTTCCGTCGCAAGTTTCGTAGCTATACGAGAATTTTCTTGTAGTGTATGACTGTGATCGTATCCAATACCTATGATCATCTATATGATCATCAATCACACATCATACTAGTCTTAGTGTATCATTATTCCCACAATGATACATGACTAGGGAGTTTAGTATTGTTCATAACAATACATGGATTTCATAACATATCAAGTATATACAATACATAATGAATCAAACACTCATCTATAAACTCATAGAAAGTGTCAATACATAAAATGTATCCAAAGAAAGCTTGCAAACAGTACATCATAGAGCACTAAACCAACAATTATTAACTTCAAAACTTCCAGAAAACATGTCAAAATAAATCTTTCTTTATATCATTAGAAAGCTTTTTCTAATATCTATGCATAGACACCATAAACGCCCAGATCTAATATATGAGCAAAACGTTATGAGCATATTGAGACAACACATGGACCGAATCCCTACATATCGATAAAAATCGGTATATATCTCTCGATGGATAATCCGATGATCTGAACATCGATCCAAATTACTAAACATCGTACGATAGATGATCTGTAACTCAGAAGTCAACTCGAATTCTAGCCATCGCCAAATGGTCAACAATTCGAGGCAAATAATCAGACATGCCCGATGAGTTGGTCAATTGTTGACTGATCATATTATTAACTTCATAACTTCCATAAAACATGTCAAAATAAATCTTTCTTTATATCATTAGAAAGCTTTTTCTACATTTTAGAGTGCATCAAAACATGTTTAGAGTGCATCAAAACATACTTAGAGTGTATCAAAACTTTTTTAGAGTGCGTCGAAACATGTTTAGAGTGCGTCGAAACATATTTTGAATGCAACAAACACTACAAAAAAACTGCGAAATTCCAACGGATTTTTCCAACGGATTAATCCGTTGTAATTTTTCCAACGGATTTCCAACGGTATCCCGTTGGAATCATTCCAACGCATTTCTAACGGATTTCCAACGGACGTCTAACAGATACATCCGTTAGAAATCCGTTGGAAATTTCCAACGGAATATCAACGGATATTTGAGTTGGAAATTTTCCACGTATATTCCAACGGATTTCCGTTGGAAATAACGTTTGACGAATTTCAACGGCAATCCGTTGAAATTATTCGAACGTTATGAAACACGGTAATAATTCCGACGGATATCCGTTGGAAATAGTCGAACGTTATAACGTTATGAAACGGCTTCGCATATGAGATGGCATGCCTCGCATTCTACCGTTGATGGAGAAATGCAACATCCATCAGATGCTTTGGCGTGGAAAAACTTCAACATGGTATTTCCTCAATTCGCTGCTGAGCCTAGGAATGTGTATCTATGTTTGTGTACTGATGGATTTAGTCCGTACGGACAGTCTGGCATGCAGTATTCATTATGGCCAGTTATACTTTCTCCGTACAACTTACCACCTGAGATGTGCATGAAAAGAGAATTTATGTTTTTGACATTGTTGATTCCTGGGCCAGAACATCCGAAGAAGAGTTTTGATGTGTATTTACAGCCGCTCATTAAGGAGTTGAAGGATTTGTGGGACATTGGAGTCCCTGCTTACGACGTAAGTGTGAAACAAAATTTTACACTGAGAGCGGTTCTTCTTTGGACGATCAGTGATTTTCCGGCGTATGGCATGCTATCGGGATGGAGCACACATGGAAGACTTGCATGTCCGTTTTGCATGGAGGAAACAGAAGCGTTTCAGTTGAGACATGGGAGAAAGACGTGCTGGTTTGACTGTCATCGCAGATTTCTTCCAAGGAATCATCCGTTCAGACAAAATCGTACGCTTTTTACCAAAGGTAAAATCGTTACTGAGGAAGGTCATGTTATGCAAACCGGGGAGCAAATTTATTTTGAGCGAATAAATAGTGGATATTTGGATGATTTGGAAGCTTCTGTGCATTGTGGAGGAAATTTTGGGCATAAGAAGTGCAAAGGATTTGGTGATTGGCATAACTGGTATAAGCGTAGTATTTTTTGGGATTTGCCTTACTGGAGTTCGCTAACGCTTCGACACAATCTGGATGTTATGCATATAGAGAAAAACTTTTTTGATAACATCATCAACACCGTTCTAAATGTGCCAGGGAGAAGTAAAGATAACATCAACTCGAGGAAGGACTTGAAAGACATATGCAAGAGAAAAGAGTTGGAGTTGACACGTGACATCCTCGCGGGTTTCAAATCGCCTATATTCAACTTCTTGTAAACGGATAGTGGCATCAAACTCACGCTAGCTCCAAGATCACATAATGCTCTATCAATCTCGATATTCCCCAACTTGCATGGAATAGAGAAACTTCCCGGATCAGACATCTTCGGGGGAAGTTCGTGCTTTGTAATGGCTGCGCT